GGAGGATGGCCCAGGTCCTTGGGCCCTGCACCCCATGGGAGACCAGGAGAAGCACCTGGCTCCTGCCTTCAGTTTGGCGCGCTGCGCCGGCCGCAGCAGCCATCGGAGGGTGAACCAATGGTAAAGGAAGACCTTTGGCCGGCGCTGCGGCTCAATAGGCTAATCCTCCACCTAGCGGCGCCGGCACACCGGGTTCTAGTCCCGGTCGGGGCGCCGGATTCTGTCCTGGTTGCCCCTCTTCCAGGCCAGCTCTCTGCTGTGGCCCGGGAGTGCAGTGGAGGATGGCCCAAGTGCTTGGGCCCTGCACCCCATGGGAGACCAGGAAAAGCACCTGGCTCCTGCCATCGGATCAGCGCGGTGCGCCGGCCGCAGTGCACCGGCCGCGGTGGCCATTGGAGGGTGAACCAACGGCAAAGGAAGACCTTTCTCTCCGTCTCTCTCTCTCACTGTCCACTCTGCCTGTCCAAAAAAAAATAAAGGAAGACTTTTCTCTCTGTCTCTCTCTCTCACTGTCCACTCTGCCTGTCCAAAAAAAAAGAAAGAAAGAAAGAAAGAAACTAGTGTGGCCATGTGATTCAGAAGTAATATGTCACTTCCTTGCAGAAGCCTTTAACAGACAGTGATCAATTTACGCTCATTCCCTCCAGGCCCAACGTGAGAAGAATCCTTAGTGAACCCATTATGGACATGCAGTATATGACTAAGAATTATAACTGTTGTTTTGAATCACCAAGATTTTTACGGTTGCAGCTGATATTAATCCAGCAAATCCTGACTGATATGGAGATGAGATTCTTGGTTACTGCGGGAAACAGTGAAGACTCTTTCTGCCTGTGAGAGGGACATGAATCATTGGAGACATACAGCAGGCTACAGAAGACAGCTTCTAAAATGGAAACAAGCATTCATACATTTATGCAATTTCCTCTCCTTGAATGTGGGCTGGGCCAAGTGACTTGTTACTTAATAAAATAATGCTGCCAAAGTAATGGAATGTTGCTTAAGAGATTAGATGGTCATCCCATCTCACTCTTGCTTGGAGCCTCAAGACTGGGGAAAGTCAGTTGTCAAGCTGTGAGTTGCCTGCCTGTGGGTAGGCCCACAGAGCAAGGGATTCATTTCTCTGGCTTACATAAGAGACTTTTCAACAGTCATGTTAGTACACTTAAAGTGGATATTCCTCCATTTGGGACCTTGAAAGAATCCTGGTCCTAGCTGATACCTTGCTTGCAATCTTGTGAGAGATCTGCAGCCACACCATTAAGGTAAGCTAACTCTATGACCTACAGAAATTATAAGATAATAAAAGTTTATTGATTCAAAAAAGAGTGAGGCCAGCACCTCATCACAATGGGTTAAGCCACTGTTTGCAATGCTACCGGCACCCCAAATCAGAGTGCTGCTCAGTTCTGTCTGCTCAGCTTCCATGCAGCTCCTTGCTAGTGCATCTGGGAAAGCAGCAGCAGATGGCCCAAGTCCCAAGTATTTGGGCCCCTGTCTTCTGTGTGGGAGACTCAGATGGAATTCTGGGTTCCTGGCTTTGGCCTAGACCAGCCTTGGCTGTTACAGCTATTTGGGGGAGTGAACTAGTGGATGGAAACTCCCTCTCCCCCTTTCTCCCTTCTCTCTCTCTGTGTTGTGTGTGTGTGTGTGTGTATGAGAGAGAGAGAGAGAGAGAGAGAGAAGGAGGAAGGGAGGGAGGGAGACACTGTCTTTCAAATCAATTAATAAATCTTTTTTTAAAAAAAGTGGAAGACAACCCAAACAATGGAAAATGTTTGCAAATCATGCATCTGATAAAGCACTGGGACTCAAGAACTGGGACTAAAGAACTACAACTCAATAAAAAGAACCCAATTTAAATATGGGGGAAAGATCTGAACAGACATTTCTCTGAAGAATATTCACAAATGGCCGATAGCACATGAAGAAATGCCCAACATTATTGGCTATTAGGAAAATGTAAATCAAAACTACAATGAGATACCACTTCACATCAACTAGAATGGCTAAATTCAAAAGACAGACAAGTGTAGAGAAATTGAAATTCTCATACACTGCTGGTAGGAGTGGAAAATGGAACACATGCTAGGAGTTCCTCTAAAAGTTAGAGTTACCTAACAAACTAGGAATTCTACTCTACATATACATCCAAGAATATAAAAACATATATCTACCCAAAAACTTGCATATAAATGTTCCTATCAGTATTACTCATAATACCAAAAATGTGAAAACATCCTATATGTCCACCAACTCAAAGCAAACCCAAAGTAAAGAGGAAAGACTAAAACAGGAGGCACTAGGGGTACACCAAGTCCATAAACTGAGAGTAAGGGACAGAAATTTGACTTCTTGGACCAATGTGGAAAGAGACAACAGTAAGGCTCTCTGAGAGTTAAACTGGGCACCTGCCCATGAATCAATAAAACACTTTAACAGCCCAATGCAGAAGTGTGCTTAGGGATACTTGCTACAGCAGAGGAAGTATTAGAGAAATCTATGCCACAGAAAATTAGGCCTTGAGCATTCCTGGGGATTAGGATTCAATTTCCCTAAGAAAGAAAATTGTCCCACCTCCTAAAATGCAAGGTCTGGTTCTGAGCTATGGATCCCAGGACCCAGGCTAAAGCAAAACTGCCTGCAAGGAAGAAGTAAAGAAATGACAGAGAAGGGGATAAAAAACTAACAATAAAATGAATTAATTCAGCCGGCGCCGTGGCTCACTAGGCTAATCCTCCGCCTGCGGCACCAGCACCCCAAGTTCTAGTCCCGGTTGGGGCGCCGGATTCTATCCCAGTTGCTCCTCCTTCCAGTCCAGTTCTCTGCTGTGGTCCGGGAAGGCAGTGGAGGATGGCCCAAGTGCTTGGGCCCTACACCCACATGGGAGACCAGGAGGAAGCACCTGGCTCCTAGCTTCGGATCAGCAAGGCGTGCGGCTGTAGCAGCCATTTGGGGGGTGAACCAACAGAAGGAAGACCTCTCTCTCTCTCTCTCTCTCTCACTGACTGTAAAAAAAATTAAAAATAAAAATAAAAAAATGAATTAATTCTCTCAAAATAAACTTTTTGGAGGTGGGCATCATGGTGCAGCAGTTAATACACCTCTTGGAACACCCAAATCTTAGAGTGCCTGGGGATTTGGGTGCCAACTCCACTTCCAACCCAGTTTCCTGCTAATGTTCAACCTGGGAGGCAAGAAATGATGACTGAAGTACTTGGAGTCCCTGCCACCAACGTGAGAGACCAGGATAGAGTTTAAGACTCCTGGCTTTGACCTGGACCAGGCCCAGCTTTGCAGCCATTTGAGGAGTAAACCAGAGGATAGAAGATATCTCTATATCTCTATCTCTCTTTCTCACTCTACCTTTCAAATAAATAAATGCTTAAAACTTAAACTTGTCAACAAATAAAAAATGGAATATAAAGCATATGGGGAACTCCAATACTATTTTTAAAAACAGTAACAAAGCACAAATAACCTAATACAAAAAATTCCATGCAGAAAATTCGGAAAATAAAAATTAAGTTTTACCTCCCAGAGACAATTTCTAGTATGACATTGTAGATTTAGATACATTGTAGATTTATGGATACAAACAAACAAACATCCCTGACTTCATTTAACAAAAATGCAATCATACTCTGCATTATTTAATAATCAATTTTCTATGCTATGAATATCCTATCAACAGATTTAATTTAATATTTTATTATTCTCCTATTGTTCAGACTAGGAGGGAATCACTGTTAATTTTCTTAAACATAATACAAAGCACTGTGATTTTAGCAATTCATACTGGAATATTTCTTGAGTAAATTAATACAATGTTTGCAACTGATTTTAAGTTACTCAAGGAAGAAAAAAGGCAGAGGGAAAAGAATTAAAGATGGACAAAATGTTGATAAGTGTTGGAGCTAGATAATGGGCACATAAGAGTTTATTATTTTCACTATACTTGGTCTATCTGCAAGTTTCACACACACACACACACACACAAAAATCCTGTAACTGCACTGTAACTGGAAGGCGATAGAGCGATTACATTGGTTGTATTATTTGTATCACAAGCAACTGCCTGGGACTACATGATCAGATACAGATATTTCCTTTTATTCACAACAGCTGGCAATGAAGATGGTTAAGCTGACTGAAGAATCTAGATTAAAATTGTATTTATAGGGTGAACATTTAACCTAGCAATTAAGATATCAGTTAAGACACTCATATCCTATAAGAGTACCTGGGTTCAATACCTGACTCTGACTTACTGCTAACGAAGACCGTGGGAGGCAGTGGTGATGGCTCAAGTAAATGTGTTCCTGCCACCCATGTGGGAGATGTGGATTAAGTTCCCAGCTTCTAGCTTCAATCTGATTCAGTCTTGGTCACTGTGGGCACTTAGGGAGTCTATTATTAGTAGATAGGAGTTTGTCTCTGTCTCTCTCTGCCTCTCAAATAAACATACACACACACATACATATATATGCTAATTACAACTTTCTCTTTCAAAAAGATAAGTAAAATTGAAATGAGCTGAATATGTGATAACTAATGAAAACATATCAGGCTTCAAATTTGTCAATTTGAAAAGCCAGTAATTTCAGAAAATCCTCCTACAAAATCCTGAGGATTAGCTACTATGAAATCCATGAGTCTGCTTTTTACAAATTCACGTCAATTTGGAGTTTCATTCAACACCTTCAAAAGTATCTGTATTATTCTAAACCATTTAACATTACACTATCAAAAAAAATAAAATTCCACTCATACAAAAAATATTTAGCAAATTTGTTAATAAATAAAACACAAGGGCATGATAGCAACCACAAGAGTAGATAATTGATCATGCCATCAATAAATGCTCTCAGGAAATGTGTTTTATACTGAAAACAATTTCTGATTATGTAATAATTTTTCTATTCCTCCTATCTCCATTTTACTTCTTAAAGCAACAGAGCTTTCCAAGTCTAAAATACTCAAATAAAATTGCAACTAACCTTTATATATGCACTTGGGTAGATCTTATGAACAGCATCTCCAGGTGCACGCCCAGCTTCTCTGTCTAGGTAGTAACTCTGTACAAAGACCGCATGGTCGCTAAGGCACCTGACCCAAACGTCACCTTCACCTTTACATTCCAACTGCACACCTTTGCCTATGTGTAACCTTAGGAAGAAAAAAGGAATTACATTTCATCTTAGTAAGCATTTAAAAATAAGTTTTAGTTCAGGTTACATAGCAGGTTTAATGTTAGAAAACCGAAAATAAGAAAAGGATATCATACAACACTACAGCCAAAGACTGATAATGTTAACTTTTTTTATATTTCCTTCTTTTTCTTTTCATATTCATTCATTATGAGTGTGTGTGAAAAGTCCTCAAAAATTCATAAAAATACATTTTATGGAAAAAGTATGAATTTCAATAAATTTTTGCACCAAAAAACATTTTAATTCAATTTCCACTAACTTCTTGATGTATTCACATATATTTTCATACAGCACTTAACTGTATGTCAGGAGCATTAACATGAATTTGCTTTTAATTCTCACAGCTCAATGAGATAAATACTATTATTCCTATTTTTGGCAAGAAAACTAAGGCTTTTAGCTATAGTACTCAAATTATTAGCCACTACTAACAGATGGATATTTAAATTAAATAAAACTAAAAACTCAATTACTCAATCCCATCAACCATACTTTAAGTACTCAATCACTACATGTGACTAGTGGCTACTGAAGTAAACAGCACAAATATAAATCATTTCCCTCATCAAAGAAAATTCTATTAGCTGGCACTGGCTTAGGGAATAAGTCGTTTGCCAAAGTTACAAAGCAAGTAACAGAGCCAAGATTATATGCTCTACATGAATACACATGTCCTTAGAGAGCTGAGATCATACAGTAGCTAAAATTGTAAATGGTCATCTTATTAAGCATTTCCATTTCATTACAAAACTTATTAACATCTTAATGACTACATTAAAGTTTATCATAATTTACTTAACCATCTCCCTTTTATTGCCAATTTTTCAGCATTATAAATAACCCTGTCAGAAACAACTATTCTCATGTTATTTCCTTTTGCTAGATTTGTAAAAATAATATGTGATTAGAGAAAATAAAAACTGACTTTCAAACTGGATTCTAAAAAATCTAGTTGCAATTCAAAACACAATACCTTAAAAAAAGGTAAGGCCATATTTTATCATTACATATTAAATACACATCAGCAATTAAAATGGAACATTTACAAACTCTGTATTTTCAAGATAACATGTCTTTATTTAAGAATTTATATAATGTACATGGAAAATATAATTTTAAACAATAATGTACTATGTTCAATTTTTATCTAACTATACAATCAATACCTTGCTCTCTCAATGGCTTCTGTCCTGTGGACATTGGAGAGTTGACCCAAGCAAAAGCGATCTCCTCCTGAAGGGTCCACGTATCCATCAACAGTAACAATAGGGCAGCTTGAAGGAACCTTAAATGTCTCTCCTACCTGAACATCCATTTCAAAATAAGCAATGGAACACCAATATTCAGGAGCTATAGGAAATAAATGGGAAAGAACATCCACTCATGTGACAACGATATTAGCTTTTGCTCCTCAAAACAACAACAAAAAGGGTTTCTTCTAAAGAAAAAAGAAAAGAAAAATTGTGTAGGGATGGAGAGGGGAAAAAAAAAAAAAAAAAAAAACCCACATCCAAAAGAACTGGATTAAAGGGCCAGCACTGTGGCATAGCGGGTAGACCCAACCTGCAATGCCAGCATCCCATATGAGCACCAGTTGTATCCCAGCTGCTCCACTTCCCATCCAGCTGCCTGCAGTGTCCGGGAAAGGCAGCAGAAGATGCCCCAAGTCCTTGGGACTCTGCCATCAAAGTGGGAAATCCAGATGAAGCTCCTGGCTCCTGGCTCTGGCCTGGCCCTGTGCTTGCTTTTTGGCCATAGGGGAATGAACTAATGGATGGAAGTTCTCTCTGTATCTTTTCTCTCTGTAACTCTTTCAAAATAGATAAGTATTTTTTCTAAAAAATGGATTAATGTAATGCAATGCATTAAAAAAGAGGGGTTTTCAATTTTTCTATTTTCCTTCCCAGTTCTTGGCACTGGTCTTGAAATTTTAAAGTCATTTTTATTTTTGCTTCTTTAGTAATTTTTAGTTATCTGAAAGACAGAGAAAAGCGACCATGTGCACTTCCATTCATTGGTTCATTCTCCAAATGACACCAATAGCCAGGGTTGGGCAAGGCCAAAGTCAGAAGCCAGAAATTCCACCTAGGTCTCTCATGTGGGTGGCAGAGACCCAAGTTATCACCTGCTGCCTCCCAGGGTGTGCATCAGCAGGAAGCTGGATCAGAAGTAAAGGTGGAACTTGATTCCAGGAACTCAGATATGGGATGAGGGTGTCTCAAGCAACACTTAACCCATTGTGCCACCCCAAAGTGATCTTTAAAATCTAGAATTTAGTTCTTACCTCAAAGCGCCAAGTCAACTGAGAATCTAAAATAAATAAATCACCACGATGCTTCTTCACTTGACTGCACATACTGTATTTTCTATGTAAAGGGAAGTTCTATTTTTTTTAAAACACACTGACCCCAAGACATATTTCAGGGAAATGTTCTTAAAAAACCACCACCCATGGCATGTTTTTATAGCTCCCTAATTGAAAGGACATAAGCAAGTCAGCTATCCCAGCCCTGAGTCAAGGTTAATTATACTCTAACTACACAAAAGTTTCACACATGGGTTCTCAATCATCTCACAGGTGAAAGGTTACTTGTCGAATTTGTATATACAAGTATATGCCACAGCAAAAGATACTTTTAGTGAAGTCAATTCATTTTAACTACTACAATTTTAACTTTGAAAATGTATTTAGTCTATTTGAATAGCAATAAATTATTTAAAATAATTTAAAACGTTTGAAAGAAAAAAGGAAGCAACAGTCTGATTTGCAAATGTAGTTGACCAAATACTTCTAGTTTTTATTTGAATACTATGATTATATCAAACCCATATACATGAAAATGTTTTGGCTTTCCTTTTTTAATTCATTTAACATACAACTAGATTATCTATAGATTCTTCTAGGCACTGCATACACAGCAGTAACCAAAACATAGTCTCCAGTCTAGCTGAAGTTCATGGACAAATAAGCAAACAAATGAACAAAGGAATTTAAATATGACACATATTGTGGTAAAATACCACAGGGTATGGAACAGAAGATCAGTGGGAAAAATGCTTCAGACTGGTAGGGGATATTCTATCAGAAAAGGTCAGAGCTGTAAAACCTTGTTTCAATGTGAAGATTGAGGACAGAATATTTCAAAAAGGAAAGCAAAAGCAGAGGCCTCAGAGTAGAAATGGATCTGGCATATTTAAGAAAAAGAAAAAAGCTCAATGTCATTCATTAGAGAATAAAAGAACGAAAGGGAGAAAGGGTCGAGTTTTATTTACAGATGTATCTCCAAGTCCATGTGCTATTTATAAAGTTTGAACTAGAATTTGAAGAAATAAAACTTCAACATTCTGAAAATATGCTTAACTCAAAAAACTACATCTTTTCAAACAAAAGGTTCCAAAATGAAGTATGATTAATGTTTAAGATTAAAAAAATAACTTGCAAATATTGCACTGTGGTGTGTTGGGTACAGCCACCATAAGTGGAAGACAGCAAAGTGTTTGGGCCCTTGCAACCCACATGGGAGAACTGGAAGAAGCTCCTGGTTCCTGGCTTCAGCCTGGCCCAGTGCTGGCCATTATGACCATGTGGGGAGTGAACCAGCAGAAAGAAGCACATGCAAGCTTGCTCCCCTCCATCCCTCCCTCCCTCCCATAACTTTAAAAAAAATCAGTAAAAAATAATAATAACTTGCAAAGGCTATGTACTTCATTGCTTTTTAAAATGCTGTCCAGCAATAAAGTACCTTCTAATTAAGAGTTAATATGGGGCCAGTGCTGCAGCAAAGTGGGTAAAGCTGCTGCCTGCAGGGCTGGCATCCCATGTGGGCACTGGTTCAAGACCTGGCTGCTCCACTTCCAATCCAGCTCTCTGCTATGGCCTGGGACATCAGTGGAAGATGGCCCAAGTCCCTAGGCCCCTGCATCTGTCAGGGGAGACTGGAAGGAAGCTCCCGGCTCCTGGATTGGCATAGCTCCAGCCACTGCAGCCATTTGGGGAGTGAGCCTACAGATGGAAGACCTCTCTCTGCCTCTCATGACTCTGCCTTTCAAATAAATAAATAAATCTTAAAAAAAATAATTTAAAAAAATGAGTTAATAAAACAGACCACATAAAGACTGGGGCCTCAAAAACTTACACATTCAAATGTTTTGGCATGCCAATTATTACAATAATGCAAGCATTTCTTAAAATATATTTCATTATGATTAGGACATAAAGCTACTGATGCATTAAAGTGTCTTCTTGAAAAGCCAGTTTTGAAGTATTTGAAGTTATTTTCATAGTTAAATTATTAAAGATATCACATTATGCTATACAAGCAACTTCAGCACACTGCTGGGAGGAATACAGGTTAAGATGAAACTAAAGAGACTATATATAAGATAACAACTATTTAATGTTCTGGAAGCAGTAACAGCACTTAAAAGAGATCTTTAAACAAGCAATCCAAACGTAAGTTTTGTTAAAACCAATGCCCTGACATCGGGAGTGTTTATAAAACTGGATTTTAAAAAAGAGGTCCTAGTTCCTGCTGAAGGATACCATGCAGAAGTAAAGTTCCATGGTTACAAACCTTTTTTCTGTGAGAGTCAACGGGGGCAAGGAAAGGGGTAGGAAGTTTTGTAGCCTCCATATTTAAGCAAGAAACATATACTTTTATCATCATGAATTGCAGCATCTGCAACTGTACTGAAATCTTGTTTCTCAGTCACCAAAGGATTTGTTTGCTTGTTTGCCTAATGTCTGACACACCATACAACAGTGGTTATGTAAAGCTGCAGCTCGGAACAGGTTTAGCATGAGTTCAACTGGGTAGTATTAAAAATAAAATTTTAAAGACTTGAGGATAAAAAGACTGGCATGTGATCTGTGCCACAAACCAAAGATTAAAAAAAAAAAGAAAGAAAGCAAACAAGCAAGAAGGAGGTTACTATTTATAAGGAGAGAGAGGGATAAAAGTAAATGGGTCCCAGAGAATTTGGCAGCACTGAGATATAAAATACTATGTGAAAAACTTCCCTGTTCCACTTTTAATTTGCTAAATAATCAGAAGAGAATATTCTTATTTCAAAACTAGGAGAAGACAATACCTTTTCTGGATATCACTTTGCTCTTTTGCCCCCAGATCAAAATGTCATGCAAATGAAAACCCTGCAGCTTTTCAAAAGTAGCCACAATACAAGAGGGCTGAGTTAATGTCTTAAATCATTTGAAAGGAGAGGGACTGTTAAGTGTTGATTTTGATACCTGCAGCTTATTGCTCTAAAAATAGCAAAGGCAAATCAGTCTTATGAAGCCCATGGGCTTCAGTGGCCAGAGAAAAGTTTTAAAAGACTGAGTTAACAACAAACATAATGGGGAAATGTATTATAAAGTACTGTTGAAGCAAATAAATGTTGCTCAGTTATAATGGAAAATATAAAACTTCAAAATTATCTTCAATTTCTGAAACAAAGTAATTTAAGATAATTTGGCAAAAGGACCTAAGAAACTCATTATGAATTCCTCCTATTATTCATATCTGAATGAGATGCCCTGTGAGGACCTTTTATAAACACATAAAGGTACTTTCGTGAATGGATAGCTCCAAAGTACTAGCATACACCTCAACTTGGAAATTTTGCATGTTGAACCCAACTGTGAATCTGAACACAAAATAATCTCAAAGCACTAAAGAAACTCTTCACTTTAACTTGCAATCAATACATAATATGATGAACAGAAAGGTAGTTCAAAAAGTTCATGGAAACTGGAACTAAAAGATAAGTGTATTTTAGGGCAAATCATTATCTTTAATTCTACTTTCCATGAACTTTCAGAACTGCTTTGGTATATCTCAGCTTAAAGGAAAAGAGAAAAAGAGTAAGCCCATGAAAAAAGAGTACCATGATTATGCTTTTCCAAAAATACTTTTTTTCAACTTTCTCAAAATCAAAGCATAGAAATCACCAAGTATGAGTACAGCGCCAGTGTGAAACACTTAACACCAAGGTATAATGATAGCAGTTTCCCTTTATTCATGCGGTATAGATCTAAAATCAACAGTAGCACTGAATACTGTTTTTGTTATAATTTCTTTACATAGCCCCATACCTATAAGAAAGTTATAAATTAGGTATGGTAAGAGATTAACAATAATAATAAAAGAACAACTGTAACAATATAGTATAATAAGTTATTTAAAATTTATGGATTATTTCTTTCTAGAATTTTGCATTTAATATTTTTGGATTGCAACTGACCATGAGTAATTGAAATTGTGAATAAGGGGGAATTACTATCTTCACATTTTCTTTTTTCTTTAGGAAAAAAAAAACATCTATTTATTTGAAAGGCAAAATAAGAGAGAGAAGGAGGGAGAGGCAGAGAGAGAGGTCTTCTGTCTGCTGGTTCACTCCCCAAAGGGCTTCAAAAGCCAAGCCTGGGCTAAGCTTAAGTCAGGAGATTCATCTGAGTCTCTCACGTGGATGAGGGGCTCGAGCCCTTGGGCCACCTTCTGCTACTTTCCCAGGTGCATTAGCAGAAAGCTGATCAAAAATGGAGCAGCCAGGACTGGAACTGGTGCCCAGAAGGGATGCCAGCACTGCAGGCAGCAGCCTAACCTGCTGTGCCACAGCCCCAGCCCATCTTCACATTTCCTACAACTACTGCCTATTTCCTAAAATATGTAACTATCTTCAAAAACAATTTCTGAAACTAGATTCACTATATATTACTGTCGATGTCTATATGAAGAACACATTTACAAACATATGCACATTTCCTATTTAAATAGTCTTTGGCATGTGGTATTATTCTCATCAGACCATAAAATGCAACTTTAACCCTATACCTACACAAATGTTTACACTCTGATCTTTTCTATTTGCACATTAAACAAGGACAGTATACATGTGAACCAGTAACTATGAAGAAGTACAATCAGGTGGGCGAGGACAAGATTCAAAAAGGCTTCCCAAGAGTCACGTGCTAAGGAAGCAGGGATGTGTCTTAGCCTGATTTGTGTTGCTATAACAAAATACCTGAGGCTGAATACTTTATAAAGAAAAGAGGTTATATGGCTCACAATTCAAGTGTCTGGAAAAGTCCAAACAGCATGTCACAGCCATCTGGCAAGGGTCTCCCAACACCAGCTACATCACAACATGGCAGTGAAGCAGAAAACGGTCCCATGCAGGGTGGCCTTGCTCTATCACAACCTGCTTTCATGAAAACTAACCCATGCCTAAAAAAACTACACTAATCCTTTCCAATGGATCTAGTGCCCATGATCTAGTCATCTCCCACTAGATCCCACTACTTAAAGATCACCATTAACCAGGAACCAGACTTTTAGCACACAAACTTTGGGGGACAAATGAGAGCAGAATACATGGTACCCAGCATGGCTCCCAGTGATTCACAACTCCTGTGTAGAACTTTCCACTTCTGAAACTAAGTTTTAAAAGACATCAAGGCTCTGTTTACCCTGTCCTGTTCACTCAGTAGCTGTCATGTTGTGAAGACATTCAAACAGCTCTACAAAAAAGTCCACAAGGAGAGAAATTAGAGCGTCTTGCCAACAATAACACTAACTTGCCAGATATGTTAGTAAGCCACCATGAAAGTGAATCCTCCAGGGCTGGTGCTGTGGTGTAGCAGGTAAAGCCGCTGCCTGCAGTGCCAGCATCCATGTGGGTGCCGGTTCAAGACTCGGCTGCTCCACTTCCAATCCAGCTCTCTGCTATGGCCTGGGAAAGCAGTGGAAGATGGCCCAAGTCCTCCGGCCCCTACACTCGCATGGGAAGACCTGATCCTGGATCCTGGCTTCAGATTGGCACAGCTCCAGCCATTATGGCCAATTGGGGAGTAAACCAGTGGATGGAAGAGCCCTCTCCATCCCTCTCCCTCCCTCTCCCTAACCCTGACTTTCAAATAAATAAATTAATTTAAAAAAAGAAAAAAAAGTGAATCCTCCAATCCTCAAAAGCCTTTAGATGACACGGCCTATCTGACAGACTCACTGCCAACTTCATGAGACCTGTAGCCAGAACCACTTAGCCAAGCCACTCCAGTTCCCTACCCATAAAACCTAAGTGACAGAACAAATTGTTATTTACACTTGCTGAGTTTTTGAGATGATCTGTTGTAGAACAGATAACTAATACAGAGTATAAGATACATCAGGCAAAGAACAGCTTACTCAAAAAAAGCAGAGAGGGCTAATATACCTAGCAAGCTTTGGTGAGCAGTATAGAATGATAAAGAGATGAGGCCAGGGGAGTGTGCAGGGACTAGGACAAAAGATTTTTTGCCAAGCTAAGGACTTTGGACTTAACCCTATGGTCAAGCAATAAGTGAGGGAATCAATGAAAGATGCTGAGCAAGGCATAACTACATTCAAAATTTAAAAGGAATACCAAGTAGCAGCAGAGATTAACTGGTAAGGAGATAACTAGACTGGAAGCTCTTCTAACAGGGAGATGAGTTAAAATAGAAAGGAGAAGAACAGAGAAAACAGAGAGGAAGAACAGTTGTGAGGGGAAACTCTTCAGGGGCCCGTTAGTGCCCACAGTCAAACAGCACCAGGTTCTGACTGACTTCACTAAAGGTGTCCAAGCAGAGCTAATCCCATCCTGCCACCACCCAGAGATATTTCAAGGGTCATCCTCACCATTAAGTCACTTCCTTATTTTATGCAAAGACAAGCTTGAATGTCAATGTAGGCTGCTACAGACACATATGCTTAAATAGATAATACTATTCCTTTTTTTTTTAACTTTTATTTAATGAATATAAATTTCCAAAGTACGACTTATGGATTACAATGGCTTCCCCCCCATACCGTCCCTCCCACCCACAACCCTCCCCTTTCCCACTCCCTCTCCCCTTCCATTCACATCAAGATTCATTTTCGATTATCTTAATATACAGAAGATCAGCTTAGTATACATTAAGTAAGGATTTCAACAGTTTGCTCCCACACAGAAACATAAAGTGAAAAATAATAGATGATTTTTTTAAATGATGATGAAATCAGATCAGACCTATTGTCATGTTTAATCCCAGTGAGAGTCAAGTTGGGAATTGATTTCTTTTTTTTTTTTTTTTTTTTTTTTTCACAGAAGATCAGTTTAGTATACATTAAGTAAAGATTTCAACAGTTTGCACCCCCATAGAAACACAAAGTGAAATATACTGTTTGAGTACTCGTTATAGCATTAAGCATCAATGTACCGCACATTAAGGACAGAGATCCTACATGAGGAGTAAGTGCACCATGACTCCTGTTGTTGACTTTACAAATTGACACTCCTGTTTATGGCATCAGTAATCTCCCTATGCACCGGTCATGAGTTTCCAAGGCTATGGAAGCCCCTTGAGTTCTCCAACTCTTATCTTGTTTAGACAAGGTCATAGTCAAAGTGGAGGTTCTCTCCTCCCTTCAGAGAAAGGTACCTCCTTCTTTGAAGACCTGTTCTTTCCACTGGGATCTCATTCACAGAGATCTTTTTGCCAGAGTGTCTTGGCTTTCCATGCCTGAAATACTCTCATGGGCTTTTCCGCCAGATCGGAATGCCTTTAGGGCTGGATAATACTATTCCTTAACCACCAGGAGCTATTAGGCCTCAATGTAACAAAAATCTAATCACAGGGAATTAGTTTTCAAATATACTTACCAGGATGATTGGATATGGGAGGCTGGAATGCAAGCTCATTGTGAACTGGCCCTAAAGAAAAGACAATAAAATTCCCATTTTTATTTATTAAAAAGTTTTTCAATGCTAACATTTTTAATAAACTTTACTTAAATATAAACATCATGCTGTAGGAGTTATTTAGATCAAGCTTATGCAAGGTCTAAAATTAAAAACTCAGTTTAGACTACTTGATAATTATAATAAGCAAATAGTTTTGACTACTTCAGTAGATACTTAATAGTTAACTTTTTAGTGCTATGTGCTAAGGGCTGGTAAATCATTCACAAATAGTTTTACATGCAATATTTAATGCAGATTATAAATGAATTATTCATATAACATGCAATACAGTACAATTTATAATATATGAATGTATTATAATTTAAAATGTTAGGTCTATTCTAAAAACTAATTCTTATGATTATTAAGATATTTATGTAGTGGAATAGTAGCTAACATAACAGAAAGCTTATTATGTGTTAATATACTGCGCTTAACACCTCACATGACTTGCTATACTTCCTAAAATATGCTAATGTACATTACTGTTACTACCCTTGAAGCCTAACAAGCTTAAATAAATTACCAATAGTCACATAGCCAGTTAAGGGTCCAAACACAACACTTTCAACCATTATGCTGGCCCAAACGGTCATTAAAAGTCATATTCTCAAGACATGGAAAAACAGTAGCATAACTGGAAATGGCAAAATATAACAATATACATATAGTATCATAGTATCATCTCTCCCCCACCCCTAATTTACATATACCCATCTATTTGACTGGAAGGAAAAATGACAAAATATTAGAAGTGTCTATCGCTGGGTGGTAGGTTTCTTGGGAATTTTAATTTTCTTATTTGCACCTCTCTGTATTTTCCAAGTTTTCTTTGGTACTACTAACCTTACAGTGAGAGGAAAAGAGTTTTTAAATAGATACAACATTTACACTCATGATTTAAATAAACCAAATACACAATGTTCCTATTCTGCCTGGATCTGCAGGCTGTCTGTAGGGGATCCCACCCAATCAAGCTTGCACAGTGTAGCAACAGATTCAACATCTCAGTATATCTGGCCCAGGGAACACATGGTGATAGAAACCTTGGGATTTTAGCACTCAAGGAGGGACGGGGGAGGTGTCAATCCACTATGGATGGATAAACAAGATACGCATGAGGTCTAAGAACACATACAAAGCGAACAAACAAATGAATGGAAATCAATGTGATGTTAATGAAATATTAGCAACAGAGAAATAGATGAATTTAGTAAACAGCACTCCTCTAAAACAGAGCTGTGATAACTATGAAAAATAAATGATACTGCTTATAAAAAATATTGAAAAGCACCAACTATTTAATGAAACTAAATTATAGGATAAATAAAAGATGTAAAAACATTATTTTGAAAAACAGAAAGAAAACAAAGTCCTATAAAAGAAAAGGCCCTTACAACAAAAACAAGAGCTTACAGTAATGTCCGGGATGGGGCGGCATAGGCGGGTGGTGCTGAAGATGGCCGTTTTGGTGGTGAGGCAAATTAGGTGTGTATGGTGCAGTCCTACTTCCAGTCCAGGTAGTAGTGCTGTCTAAAAATTAAGGCCCACATGGATTAATTTGCTTTTATAAAGTCTGCCTATTTTTTTTCTCAACTATTTAAAAGATTTTAAAAAGCATGTACATACTATGATGGTAAGTAGCTGGCTGACCAGTAAATCCATTCTGCTGCTGTCCTGGCTGAGGCCCTGAAGCTATCTGCAACAGTCCTTCACTATGGCTGCCTGCCAGTATACTGGCAGGCTGACCTAGAGGAACAAGAAGACATTACATGGCACATTTACAGATGCAAGTCTATGGTTTCATATAACAAATGAAGGACCAATCATATATGATAATCCACAGCTATAAAGAGGGGCAACTCATCCACAGCCTATCAAAAACAAAACAAAACAAAACCTGAAGTCATCTAGGCAAACCTTAACTCTAAGTTCAACATTATTTCCTCCTAAGTAGTATTAGCTAACTGTAACGGACTATTACTTCATAAATAGTCTTCAAACACTAGCAAAATGCCACTCTATTATGTCTATCTATTATAATAACTGCTTCAGAATTACATCAATTTATCCCTTGCCACTCCATCCTCCTCTCTGTGAAATTTCCTGATTAGGACTCCAAAAACCCAGGCTCAAGAAAGTGTTGGAATGTAGAAAGTTAATTGGCAGCATTGGTACTGATAGTGACAGAATGCTAAGGTTTAATAAAAGGAAAGAGGGCGAATATTTTAAATAGAATGTGATGGGCAGAGTAACAAAGTTAGAAAGATCTAGTTCCACTGCCAAATCACTTTGCAGATTAAAAACAAACCGTAAAAAAAAAAAAAAAAAACCTATCATTCTACTTGGACCTTTTTTATGTGCTTTGCAAAACCAAGAATTATGTCTTTTCAAGATCATCATCAGATTCCCAATTTACATACAATCAATTGCCCTCTCTATATGTAATAAACTAGAAGAACTAAGCTTTCTCTGGCTTCAACTCAAATGTTTGCCATTTAACATTTTAAAATCTTTTACAATGATTTTTTAAAAGATTTATTTATTTGAAAGGCAGTGTGACAAGGAGAAAGGGAGTAAGGGGAGAGACAGCAAGCGAGACAGAGAGAGCGACAGGAAGAGAGGTCGATTTCACATCTGCTGGTTCATTCTCAAAATGGCCTCAACAGCCAAGGCTGGGGCAGGAGGAATCTAGGTCTCCCACGTGGATGGCAGAGGCCCAAGAACTTAGGCCATCTTCTAATACTTTCCCAGGTGCATAAGCAGGGAACTGGATCACAAGTGGAAGAGCCAAGACTCCAACCAGGGCTCATATGAGATGCTGGTGTTGCAGGCAGACTTAACCTACTGTGCCATAATCCCAGCCCATAAAACAAATTTTTAAAAATTTATATTCATTTTATTTGAAAAGCAGAAAAGACAGAGAAAGAGACAGAGACAGATCTTCCACCTTTTGGTTTATTCCCCAAATGCCTGTAACAGCGGGGCTGTGCCAGGATAAAATCAGGAGCCAGGAACTCAATCCAGGTCTCCCTCATGGGTGGCAGACATCCCAAACAGTGTTTTAATTTCTGTGCCAAACACCAACCCAAGGCCTTTTTTTTTTTTAACATGGAAAAGTTAAGGTAAACATTTCTTAAGGTAAACATTAATTATTTTTGTCTTATTTCATTTGGAAAGATCTGCTTTATTTGAAAGGCAGAGTTAGAGAGAGGGAGAAATAGAGAAAGAAAGAGATCTTCCATCTGATGGGTCCTCCAAATGGAGCTGGGACTGGGCCAGGACGAAACCAGGAGCCAGGAAGTCCATCAGAGTTTCCCACATGGGTACAGGGGCCCAGGCACTTGGGCCATTTTCCATTGCTTTCCCAGGAGTATTAGCAAGGAGCTAGATTCAAAATGGAGCAGTCAGGACTCAATCCAGGTGCTCATGTGGGATGCCGGCATTGCAGGTGGTAGCTTAACCAACTGCACTACAATGTCAGACCTAAGGTAACCATTAAATAAGTCAACTGTCTATCCCATGAGAAAAGCACTGAAATTTCATAATTGTTACTATCACTGGCATCACCTCATTCTTTTATCATCTAAATGGGAGCCTAATCAGACAGACAGTAAACGTCACCAACTCCTCAAAGTACAGAGAAAAAGGAAATATCCCTCCACTCAATGTATCACATTTCCTTAAATCTAAGAATTATAAAAGCAAAGAGTGAATAGAATATTTCAATGAAAGATGACATTTTATCAACGTTCCTAAAGTTCTGTAAGTTATCTTTAAAGGCTAATTATGTTTTTTGCTCTTGTTGTTATAAATTATACATGCTACATACTCTTAGGTAACTTAAAAAACTGTTACTACACAGTATAATTAAATGATTTTTACTTACATATACTTAGGAAAAAGGCCCTGAAGAACTCAGGTACCAAGTGAACATTAATTGTTAACTGGTTCACCGCAGTTTTCTGTACTGAATATTTTCATTGCACAATTCCAAGCCCATAGGATAAAACTAAACAATATAACTCAAATCAACTCATGTGAATGAAATAGGCTTCCAATTCCTCTTTTTAGTCAGCTTCTTTTCTTTCTTTTAATACAATATACTTTTGAGATCTATGGTAACATTCTGCCACCAAGTTTTAAAACCCACAGTATTTAGTATTTAATTATTAAAATCGACCCCAAAAATACCAAGACAAAATTCGCTGCATTTCATTCATATCACTTTTCTGGTCTTCAAACAAGACCCAGCCACAGGGAGAACAGTCAAACTGCAGTTATTTTCATAAGGATTAACAAAGGCACAGAAATTTAATCTTTAGATAACATAACAAAGGTAGGTAGCTGTGTTCTAGCACTAATCTATACTCAAGTGGCTGTACTGTACTCTCAAGTTTCCATCACTACCCATATCGTTGGTCAATCATATTTTCCAAACAGTAAATTAAAAGTGGACAGGTAACCAAAGCATCAAGTGATTAAGTGATTGAGGGTCCCAGTTTTAAAGTGCTCAATCTACAAGGCCCACTTAGGATACACTATCAATGGAGAGACTGTCACCTCTTAATTATGTATTGCTTTGAAGTGGTGAAATGAAAATGGGAAAATTTGGGATACTTCACTCAAAAAAATCACAATTACAGATATCAGTCCCCTATTCCAAGATCAAATCTACACTGACTCTGATCTGATATGAAAGTATATAGAATAATGCTCCTTTTAGTAGCATTCAACAAAGTATCAGTCCAAATCTACATACAGTATATTGCTGATACAATTCCCTTGGTACCCATGTACAACTAACATTTTACACACACCAAGACAAGGCTATTATTCAAACAAAAAGGCTATTTCACCTGCCAAGCATGAAATTGTCCAACCTTTGGTAATTGTGAAAATAAGTAGCTATTCTAATAGAATCTGATTATTTTGTACATCAATCAGGTCTGAGAAAAGCAGAGACTAACAGCCCTCTGCCTCCTAAGACATGGCAGAGGTAATACCTCTACTGGGAGAAAACCCTTTAGAAACAGATTTCTCATTATTTAAAAAAAAGATTAAAAAACAGGAGACAGTGATATGTGGTATTTGCCTTTATATTATAATGGACAAAATACCTAATGTCTATCTTAGGGGTTCTATGTTATTAATAATTTTGCTAAGATTCCTTTTTCTAAGTTTGCACAATGAAAAAATAAGATGACCATTATAAAGTAATAATCAAGCAAGAAAAATCAATTTTTAGAAGAAATGATGTAATTCCATTAACACAGGTCTTCATAAATATCTCTCCTCAAAACTACTCATCAGCTAAATTATTTCTCTTAAACCTATGTGACAGTTTAAGAGGCTTTCTACTTCTCTATGTGATAAAGTACAAATTAAATCATTAATTTAAATCAATACTATAAACAAAGTCATTACTACATTCAAAATGACTTATATCAACATAAGAACATTTAAGTAAATTATAATCACCATTTTTCTAGGACCCAAACACCTATTTCATACTTGGATACCTCTGAACACACTACAGCATCTTTTTTACTTACGTGGAGTTTTGCTCCAAATGACTAACACAGATATTCAACAATTAAGAAATTCAACTTGCTGACTCTGTCTGATTCTACAACTCACTTGTGGAAGCCACAGGAATGTTGGGAAAGTTGGTGGTGCCGGCAGCATTAGACTCAGATGGGGCTAACAGAGCTGGGGTGCTGTATGTCTCGGTTGATCCGCGATTACTTGGTGGATGCTGGATGGTTTGAATTGAATGTCCTTCAGTGGATAATGATGGCTGTCCCTCAAAGTCATGAACATATTCATCCTTTACCAACATGCTTGGTGGAGCTATGTAAAAAAAATCAAATGTATTTTTAAATTTTATAAGCTTCTTTTCCAAGAAAACAACTCATAAACAAGTAATATGACAATATTTAAAATTAACTATATTATAAATAACTCTAATTTAGAATTTTTTCTTATTATTTTAAAAGCCTGTATTTTATCAGCAAAAGCCACTTATATAGAGGTAGTAGCATCAACCAGTCTGACTGCCTCTGACTTCTGAAGTTCAACTATATTCCAGCAGCCTCCAGCAATGGTCCTGAAGAGGCATTCCTGAGTTTTCTGATAAACCTGTAAGTATTAATGACCTAAATATACAGATGAAGTAGGCAAAACCCAAATGGCTAGAAGATGTGCATCCAGTTGAGAAAATCAATTACTCAGTTCATACTGAGACTGAAAGCTAGCTGGACCTTTTTACTATTTCTCCACTGTGGATAGACCAGAGGATCTGATAGCTACCCAATTCCAGAATTATTATTAAATAACACATTCTCTGAAAGTGAAGTGTACTGAAAAGTTCCTATATGTTTAGAACCAAACAGAAAACTCCTGGTAAGTCAAACTGTAATTCCCCTTAGAAATCCAATCCTAATAAGAATGTCTGAAAAATATGCAATATGAAAAAAAATCAACATCTTTCAGTTGCATGGTTACAGATTAATAAACACAGATAGGACTCTACCTAATACAGCACAATATCTTCCATTAGCAAACTACAAAATGATTCCTTAGGTTGTATGAAAAAAATCTGAAACTAAACTGTATTCCTAATGCCAATTCTCTACGAAGAACCTCTCATTTGTTTGGAGGCTAATTATTTTGAGGTTTGTTTTTTTACCTTTAGCAAACAACCTTTTACAGCTTCTGAACAAACACTGCTCCAGGATTTGACAATCCACTGAACTCTAGCATTAGGTTCTTTTCTTAGAGCAGGCAATTAATATAAACAGTCTTCACACTGACATTCCCTCTTGCATTAAGAACCAACATAACACTTCCCTTATCTTTCCTTATCTCAATCTTTGAAACAATGTATTACACATAAACATTGATTAAATGGCAATTTTTATTAAGGTGAGACCATTTCAACATCATTCTAGTTTCTATGTACAACCTCTTATGCCATTTCATGCATCAAAACTCATAAAAACGTTCTTTCAAGACTCATAAATTATACTCCAAAGAGCAGATCTTTAGAAAATTTGATAGAAACAAAAAGGATACTTTAGGTATCATTAAAAAACAGATAGAAACCTAAGAAAATAGACAGAAACCTAAGGATATTTTAGGTATCATTAAAAAAAAAAAGGACCCAACCATTCATCACTAATGTTAGCCAAGTTATTAAAATAATGCAAAGAAAAATGGTTTGGGACATAAAGTGTGTACATTTGCATTTATTCAGTCTTTTATTATACTCTTTAAAAAAATTCTATGATTTTCTATGATTTTATTCACATGGATCCTGACATTTTTATTTAATTCCTGGACATTCTAGGGTTTTTGTAGTGACTGCAATCTTTTTATTGATAAACTGGTAATGTTAAATGTTAGCACATAAGGACAAAGCTACTTATTTGATGATACCCAGATCAACAGGTCAACTTGATATCCATCACTTCTTTTCAGCTGACTCTGCATTTAATGGATAATCAAAACATCTCCAAGTCCTAGCTACATTCTGCTTTTAAACAGTTACACCTCAAACTTTCCTCAATACATTGGCTAAACCTTCCCAAATTTAAGTTCGGGACTTCTAGTGGGTAGTTATCTACAGGTGTCTTTAACCAAATAACCAAAAATACATGCTTCTTAGATATAACTGAAGGTATCAACAAGGACAGAAACCTACAATTTTTGCTAACAGAAAAAAAGCAAGTTACAAAACACTGTTGTACCCTATGTTCAGATGCATCTTTGAATGTTTAAAACCATCATATACTGTAAATAAAAAACAAAGGTCCAAAACAGTGTGTACAGTATGCTTTTCATGTAAGAAAGGAGGGAAATAATATGTGTATCCTTTTTTGCATAAAGAAACACAGGAAGGAAACACCAGAAACTAATAAAAAGTGATTACCTGAGATAGGGGGAAAGGGGGGCAGGGGTGGGAGCACTTCTTTTCACTGTATACCTTTAAATAGTATTTTGATTTATGGACCATGTATTGCCTATTCAAAAAAATAAAATTAAAAAAAAACATATGGTATATATATTTTTAAAGTCCAGGAAAACAGACATCAAACTATTAAGTATTTTTCTTTATGGGCTAGTATTCAACAAATTCATTTACTGAAAAAATATTTATTGAGCACCTATATTCTGGGTGCTACTCTAGCAACTGGAATACAAATATCCCTGCCTTCATGGAGCATACAGTGTTCCTAATATTGTCTTGTTTAAATATCTAACAGCAAGTACGTATTCTCCAGCTCCTCCTAACTGTCCAGTCAGGCAAATTTCCTGACCTCTCCAAGCACCATTCTCCTAATCTGGAAAGCATGGCTAATCCCTCCTGAGAATGATGACACAGTTCTCTCAAATTGTTTAGCTCAGTACCTGACATACAATGAGAACTCTGTTAGCTGTTATTGTTTAACCATAATGTTAGAATAATCATACATATAACACACATACACAGAATGAATGTAAAATGTTCTGTGAAGGGTAAAGAATGCACTCTCCACTGCTGAAGTCCAGGGGCCTGATCCAGTCTGTTCTTGGTCACCACCAGCAGGTGGGCCACAGAACTTGCCTGATGGTATTGCCACTATGATTTACTTTTTCATTTCTCTACTAAACTATGAGCTCTTCAAAGTTGGGGGGCGCACACCTTATTTATCTTAGCATCCCTGGAACTCAACCATATGCTCATTAAATATTTGTTAAAACAAATATACAGGTCAATGTGGTCATATAAAGTTTCACAAAAGAGACGAGACTTGCTGGAAATGATTACAAGACCCCGATTCGAAAGTGAAGGAACTGTTCATTTTCTTAACTTTCAGTTATATAGCCATGTACTTTTTTTTGTCCAAATGTAGAGGCTCTGAAAAGTACCTGTTGTCACCCAAAACTGCCTTCACATAACCTCCACTAGCAAGCTCCCACAGGCATGAATACAGCCCTTGAGACACTAAGGAGACAATCAACCCATGCAACTCTATCAACAACAGGCACTCAAAACAACAGTAATTTTAGGATAGGGAAACAGTGTGATGAGCCTTCACCTTCTCAACCATTTTCATGAGGAGATTCTGATACAATTATCATTGCAGTCTCCCAACCACTAACATCCTCTGAGCTAAATGCTTTAATTCTCCAAAAACATAGATGGAGAATTAAGATGATCTAAAGAGCATTTACTTTAAAAAAAAAAAAAGAGAGAGAGAGAGAGAGAAAGAAAGAGAAAGAAAAGAGACATGGTATTAATGTCTGTGTGTCAAAGAGGCAGGGCTTGAAACCAATCTTAAAGCTACCATTCCCCCATCACAACAGCTCCTATTACCAACCAACCTTTCTCAGAAACCTATTAATCATTAACAAGTACCACAAGCACTGGAGTCTTCCTCTATTATTAGTGATATGGAAAAGTAGAAAATGAAAATAAGTAGACTGCTATGCTCTTCTTAAATTTTAAGGTCACACGATATTTCTGATCCACTCCTAAGATTCTGCAACAAAAAGATGTCACAATACTGATTTTCCTCCAGAAAAATCGAACAGCAGCACATCTTTCTATAATAATGGCTCTGTATCAGAGTTTCTCTGCAAATTAGTTCCTACAGAAATTTCAATCCATTAACAAGTTCCAAGAAACAGACCTAAAGATTTAATAGAACTCCATTTTCAAATATTACACTAGAAAACAAAAACCACACATCTCTATCTGTTTCATTTCTCACCTCAAAACACTTTTTCTTTTTTAAAAGGGATTCTATCAGCTGATTGGCATATGCTGTAAGGTGGCCTTGTTTTTTACATAAAGGTAACAAGACTAAAAAAATACTAAAATGTGTAGTTTTAAATAAATTTCAACATCATCATTCATAAAAATAAGTTGGGATAAAATGAAAGACAACTTTAAAGTGTGTATTATACATGATTCCAAATTATCCAACACCACTGGAGGTTAGATCCATTTAAATGGGCTCTGTGGATTTTTTTTCCAAAATAACCAGTTTTTATCAATTTAAAAAATATTTTTCCTTTATATTCATGTTTTTGGTACACTCTACACATTTTTTTTGAGTTCTTTATTTAACAAATGACAGTTCATGTCCAGAGAGTCAACAGCCGGTTTAAATCTAGTTTTAAATGCAGATGCACGGCCCCTAAAAAAACCTACATTTCCAAAACAGTAAGATTTTTTTCCTGTTAATGTTACTGGCACCTATACAAACTAATTCTAGGTCAACAAAAAAACAGAGGGAAGAAAACAGAAAGTTACAAGAAACAGATTACGTACCATTACTCTGCAGCGTTAATCCTGAGAGATCTTAATTTTTTAGAGGGAGGGGAGGAAAAAAGGAAACATTAATCATTACCATGAAAATATTCTCTATTACATTTTAAATTACAGGATGCAATTTCAAACTAGAGATTACAAAACTTTATAAATTATTTCAATTCAGGAAGAGCAGAATAAATGCTGTCTAGCAATAAACTAATCAGATCTACAGTACTTTTCATTCTATTTTTCAAAACCAATATTGTCTTTTAAAAAGATTTACTTATTTGAAAGGCAGAATGATTGAGAGAAAGGGAGAAACAAGGCAAGATACAGATCTTCCATCAGCTGGCTCACTCCAGACCAAAGCCAGGAGCCTGGAAATCTATCCAGGTTTCCCACATGGGTGAGGAGCCTAAGTACTTAGGCCATTTTTTGCTGCCATCCCTGGCACGTTAGTAGAAAGTTGGATTGCAAGTGGAGCAGCCAGAACTCAAATTGGCACTCTGATATGAGATGCTTATATTACAAGCAACAACTTAACCTGCTGCACCACAACACTGGCCCCAAAAACAATGCTCTTAAAGGTCAAAATATCAACTATATACAGTTAGTTTTAGAAGTCAAAATATAAGTTTGGTCCTCAGTTCAAATTTAAATACTTGTATTTCATAAAAAATGTCTGACTCTAACCTTATTGAAGTCCTTCACGATTTCTACATTTATAAGTTAACTTAGAAAAATTAAACCAGTACTGGAATCTTTCCCTTTTATGCTTCTAAGGAGAAAAGCAAAATCCACTTACCAATTCCAGGTGAGACAACTCGTTCATAGTGATACGGATTCACACAGACACTGTCACATTTTAAGTCAAATGCATACTGACAATATTTAACATGTTTTAGTTCATTTTTGTGAAGATCAGGCCATCTCCAGAGACGGGCATATATCACATGAGGAAATCCCTTCCGACCAGCCACCTAGGAAAAATACATCATTTGCTGAACATCAGTTATGTGTCAGATATTATACAAGGCACATTATATATGTTCTCATTTAATCCCCACAATCCTATAAAGCCTGAATTTACTTTGAGAAAACTAAAGCTCAAAATAATTAACATGGCTATGTCTCACATGAGAGCTAGAATAACTTAGTTATAATTTAAAGGTCTGAGCTCAGGTCTTAAAAATGCAAAAAAGTATGAATTTGTTGCAAAACCTACACCTAAAATCTAGAAATAAAATTTTTAAATATAACAAAATTTCTCTAAGTTCCTTTAATCATAGAAAACTGTAAAAGGGTTACTTCTGCATAAAAACTGACAAGTGCAACAACTGATATCAATGACATGTATGATATCAGATTTCAAAATTATAAAAGGATTAAGGATAATTTTGTTTCTAAACATAGATACAGTATCAGAAAAGAAAAAAAGGCTACAAGGATGAATACCAAAGTGCTAAAGGTAGTTCTCTCAGAGTGTGGGTTTTCTTCTGCTTTTTATTTTTATTTTCCAAATTTTCTTCATTGAACTTTTTCTGAGTCAGAACATTAAAAAACTTTTAAGATTTATCTTCGGCCGGCGCTGCAGCTCACTAGGCTAATCCTCTGCCTTGCGGCGCCGACACACCGGGTTCTAGTCCCGGTCGGGGCGCCGGATTCTGTCCCGGTTGCCCCTCTTCCAGGCCAGCTCTCTGCAGTGGCCAGGGAGTGCAGTGGACAATGGCCCAAGTGCTTGGGCTCTGCACCCCATGGGAGACCAGGATATGTACCTGGCTCCCGCCATCGGATCAGCACGGTGCGCCGGCCACAGCGCGCCGGCCGTGGCGGCCATTGGAGGCTGAACCAACGACAAAGGAAGACCTTTCTCTCTCTCACTGTCCACTCTGCCTGTCAAAAAAGAAAAAAGAAAAAAAAAAGATTCATCTTTTATATGTTGTTCCATAATGCATTTGGTACAGGATACACAGTATCCTATAGTAACTTAAGAAAAATAATTCAGAATTTTTTTTTAATCTGTCATCACAGAAGACAAAGAAAAAGTTTAGTATGAGACTAACCTGCAGTCGTCCATCCAACGTTCTCTGTATGGTAACACATTTACTAGGATGAGCTCCATTTGTAGTTATAGCTGTTATTAAAGAATCTAATTCATCTTTTTTCTCCTTCAGCTTCTTTACCAAACTTTCAATTGCTCTTTTTGCAAATGTTTCACTCTCTCCACCTTGTCTATGGCACATCAAACTATGTACAATGCTTAGACAGGCATCATTACTTGTTGGTGTATTCGTAATAGACATATTGTCCATTTGTTCAAGTTTGTTCTTTTAAATCAAATATGTCTCCAATCTCCAGAGCGATTTTGATTTTCTGGAGGCAGTGAAAAACATACGTTTTGGATAACGTTGCAAGGAAAGTTGTTAGACATGTGGTGTTCGAAATAACCTAAAAGAGAGAGAGAGAAAGATGAGAACACATTTCACAAAGTAAATTCAGCTGAGGGAAAAGATAGATTTGTTCGGTTAAGTCAAGGATCTGATGCACATACTTAAATTTGACCTTCCTAAAGTGACTTAAAATGTTGCATTCTTGACATTATAAAAATACTAAAGTTAGGTCTTTTCATTATTATAAAGGCATGCTCAATTAAGTGCTGTTCAGTGCACCAGTCACCTTAAAGCAAAATCTTCAGATTGTGTAAAAGGGTTACTTATATGAACTAGCATTTTAAAATATTATTATCAATTATAGTTAACCTAAAAATCTACCATTAAACCTAAAAATCTACCACAAATACATATTATGTAAAAATTCAGCATCTAGTATAAATGCTGTTTAGCAGTTAACATCATCATCTTTGTTAAAAGAGACCACTGGCAACAATAAAAAGACAAACACAGTTGTGCATCGTGTAACGATGGGAATATGCTCTGAGAATGAGTGATTAGGCAATTTCGTCTATGCGTGAACATCACAGGCATACTTATGGAAACCAAGAGAACTACAATGTCCCTCGGTAATACAATCGCATGGCACCACCATTGTATACATGGTCCAATGTGGCAAAACATTGTGCAGCACACATCTGCAACCCAATTTTGAAATGGACAAAAGGATTCTAAAGGACATTTCTCCAAAGAAAATGGCCAATGAGCCCATAAAAGATGTTCAGGTACTGCGATGTAGCTGGTTAAACCACTGCTATGATGCCAGCATCCCATATGATAACCAGTTCAAGTCCTGGCTGCTCCGCTTCTGATCCAACTCCTTGCTAATGTACCTGGGAAGGCAAGTAGCCCAAGTATTTGGAACCCTGCCACCCATGTGGGAGACCAAGACAGAGTTCCAGGCTCCTGGCTTCAGCCTGGCCCAGGCCCAGCCCCAGCTGTTGTGGTCATTTGAGTAGAGAACCAGTGTGATGGAAGGTATCTTTTTGTTTCTCTCTCCCTCTAGCTCTGCCTTTCAAATAAATAAATCAATCTTAAAAAAAAAAAAAAAGTAAAAAAAAAAAAAAACAAGATGCTCAACATCAGTCATTAGCAGAACCCTCACAAACTCCTGGTAGGATCACAAAATGAAAGTGAGTTACCATGTGATTCAGCATTTCCACTTTTTAAACAATTCTCCCCCAAAAAATAAAACCTGTGTACACACAAAAAGCTGTATGTGAATGTTCACAGCAGCACTGTTCTTAATAGCCAAAAGTAGATACAACTCAAATTCCATCAACTGACAAATGCCTAAATGGGTATATCTATACAATGGAATATTACTGAGTCATAAAAAGACCACAGTGCTGATACATGTTTCAACAGTTACTGGGATGCTACAGTTTTTAGGGATGAACCTAAAAAACTTAGTTAAATAAAAGAAGCTAATCAAAAAAGGTCACATATTGAATAATCTCATTTATATGAAATCCCAAAAGAGGCAAATCCACAGAAATAGAAAGGAAAGCAATGGCTGCCAGGGATTGGGGGAAGTCAAGTGAGGAGTGACTGCTAATTAGAATGGGTTCTTTGTGGGGGTTAGGACAGGAAGGGATGAAACGTTCTACAATTTAGCACTAATAGGAGGATGGCCCAAGTACTTGTGCCCTGCACCCCATGGGAGACCAGGATAAGTACCTGGCTCCTGCCATCGGATCAGCGCGGTGCACCGGCCGCAGCGCGCCGGCTGCGGCGGCCATTGGAGGGTGAACCAATGGCAAAGGAAGACCTTTCTCTCTGTCTCTCACTGTCCACTCTGCCTGTCCAAAAAACAAAAAAAAAATTTAGCACTAATAAATAATTCTACATTTACACTAAAAATCCAATGAATTACATACTTTAAAAAAATTTTATGTGAATTATACATAAACAAAGTTGTTTTATATAATTATTTTAATGTTTTCATTTTATTTGGAAGGCAGGGGGAAAGAGGCAGACACACAGACATTACATCCACTAATTCATTCCCCAAATGCCCACAACAGCAAATGAAACCAGGAATATGAAACTCAATTCAGGTTTCCCATTCGGGTGGCTGGAAACCAACTATCTGAAGCACTATTTGCTGCCTCCCAAGGTGCACATTAGCAGGAAGCTGGATTACACTTGAACCAGGCACTCTGATAAAGTAATTGCTGAGCCAAAACCCATCCCAACAAGATTATTTTTCTAAAGACAGACCACTCAATTCCTCAAAAGATTTTACCTGTAAAAGCAATAGGGTAAGGAGCCAGTGCTGTGGTATAGAAGGCAGGGCTTCCGCCTCCAGTGCCGGCATTCCATACAGGCGCCGGGTCAAGTCTCGGCTGCCCCACTTTCGATCCAGCTCTCTGGTATGGCCTGGGAAAGCAGCTGACGGCAGCCCAGGTGCTTGGGGTCCCACACCTGTGTGGGAGAGCCAGAAGAAGTTCTTGGCTCCTGGCTTCAGATCGGCCCAGCTCCAGCCATTGCAGCTGTTGGGGAGTAAACCAGTGGATGGAAGGCCTCCATCTCTGCCTCTGCCTCTGCCTCTGCCTCTCTGCAGCTCTGCCTTTCAGATAAATAAGTAAATCTTTAAAACAAAACAAAACAAAAAAAGCAATAGGGTCAATTATTTTAAAAAGGAATTGAGGGACCGGCACTGCAGTGTAGTGGGTAAAGCAGCCACCTGCCATGCCAGCATTCCACATGGACACTGGTTCTAGTCCCAGCTGCTCCACTTCCAATCCAGCTCCCTGCTAATGTGCCTAGGAAAGCAGAAGATGGCCCAATTCCTTGGGACCCTGCACCTACATGGGAGACCAAGAAGAAGCTCCAGGCACCTGGCTTTAGACTGGTTCAAGCACTGGCCACTGCAGCCATTTGGGGAGTGAACTAGCAGATGGAGACCAACCTCTCTCTACCTCTGCCTCTCTGGAACTCTTTCAAATAAATAAATTAAATAAATCTTTAATAAAAAGAAATTAAAATATAGGAAATGGATACTAATCAAGAATCCATTCAACACTTAAAACCTTAAAGAGCTTACTTGACTTCAAGATCACACATGGAACAGGAAAAAGGCCATCAGCTCAAGAATAAACAAGGTAAAGCAGGGCTGAAGCCTGCCCTTTGCATGATGGGTTAATTATTTGTTCAATGATGTTCCAGACTGCACTTTTATTTTACTTTGCTATTTATTTGAATCTTATCCCCTCCCCAAATGAATAAAATTCACCCAACATTCTTCTATAAAAATCTGTTCCTCTTCAGATGATCCCGATTTGTTAAAGCATCAATTTCATCCAATGACCCAGTCTTGGAAAGTATGGCAAACCATCTCTGATCTCCCCGTTCACTACTCCCACATTTCCTCACAGAGTCTTCACCTTAATCATTTTTTGTGCTCCCTCCTTTCTATTCCCCATGCCACTGTTGTAGTTTTGAGCCTCCTTGGTGTTTATATCAATAACCTGGTATTTAACCCTTGCTTCTCTCTATTGTTACTCCTTTTACATTTAAACTTGTCTGTTCAACTCATTATAAGCCTCAAGCAGAGAAGTACTTTTTCACCTCTTTGAATACTTATCATTTACCCATACTCAATAAGTATATGTTGACAACTAAAGATTACTTGCATGGGGAGTTTTGGAATCAGAGATCTGGATTAGAATCATACTTTTTGGGGGCCAGCATTGTGGCAGAGCAGCTGCCACCTATGACACCAGCATCCCATATGAGGGCCAGTTTTGAGTCCTGGCTGCTTTACTTCCAATGCAGTTACCGGCTAATGTGCCTGGGAAAAAAGCGGAAGATAGCCCAAATACTTGAATTCCTGCCACCCACATAGTAGACCCATATGGAGTTCCAGGTTTTTGGTTTTGGCCTTGCCCAGCCCCTACCACTGTAGCAATTTGGGGAATGAACCTGCAGATGGAAGACCTCTGTCTCTCCCTTTCTCTGTAACTCTTTCAAACAGAAAAATTTTTTAAAAATCTCACTTTTCATACTAATTGGGCAAATAAAGTTACAGAACTAGCCAATGCCTAGAGCAGTTCAAAAGTCTTTATTGGGACTAATTTCCACTTCAAGAGCATAATGCCGCCGGCACTGCGGCTCACTAAGCTAATCCTCCGCCTTGCGGCGCCGGCACACTGGGTTCTAGTCCCGGTCGGGGCGCTGGATTCTGTCCTGGTTGTCCCTCTTCCAGGCCAGCTCTCTTCTGTGGCCAGGGAGTGCAGTGGAGGATGGCCCAAGTCCTTGGACCCTGCACCCCATGGGAGACCAGGATAAGCACCTGGCTCCTGCCATCGGATCAGTGCGGGGCGCCAGCCGCAGCGCACTGGCCGCGGCGGCCATTGGAGGGTGAACCAACGGCAAAGGAAGACCTTTCTCTCTCTCTCTCTCTCTCTCTCTCTCTCTCTCTCTCACTGTCCACTCTGCCTGTCAAAAACAAAGAAATAAAGAAATAAAAGAGCATAATGTTTCCAAGGCACCATTCTTCAAAGTTGTTCTTTAGGTTTCTGTCACATTCCAGGAGAGATGCAATCATCAGCTACCCTGAATGGGTCCAGACCCTGAAGCCAGGGTAACACCTGTGCAGAGGGGTCAGAAAGTATCCAAAGGTCATCCTTCATTTCGTTTTTAATTTTTTTAGTTTTTATTTATTTGAAATACAGAGTTACAGAGAGAGCGAGCCAGAGAGAAAGTTCTTCCATCCATTGGTTCACTCTCCAAATGGCCACAACAGCCAGAGCTGAGCTGATCCGAAGCCAGGAGCCAGGAGCTTCTTCCGAGTCTACCACACAGGTGCAGGAGCCCAAGGACTTGGGCCATCTTCTACTGCTTTCCCAGGCCATAGCAGAGAGCTAGATTGGAAATGGAGCAGCCGGGACCTGAACCAGAGCCCATGTGGGATGCCAGCACTGCAGGCCAGGGCTTTAACCCACTGTGCCACAGTACCAGCCCCCCTTCATTTCATTTTAATATTAAGATCTCTACCCCAGAAGGAGCTTAACCCTTATTACCATAATACGCACCCTACATAGGAACATGATTCTGAATGGCACCTGCATGAACTTGTACCCACCCCAACATGCAATGACAAGAACTTTTCCTCCTCCATCTTCATTTTCCTTTAATGCCAAACATACTTATTTCCTCTTGCTTGGGGAAGCCAAGGCTTTGGAAACAATTCCCTGTGGTTTCCAGATTTGCTGCAAATAAATTATTTTGTGTGACAACTTCTACTGGGGCATGTCTTAATTAAACAGGCCAGGTAGCAGATCCACATTTTTGTTATTTAAACTCTATGACCTGGCATAAAAGGAGCATATACAGAACTCAAAGGAGAAAACTTATATAAAATATCTGGTACATGTCATTCAATAGAAAGTAACTATTGTCTGAATACTAAAATGTTTAATTGTTTTAAAGGGAAATTTTCCTAAAACTTACTATGCATTTTCTCCTATTGAAATTCATTAAAGAAAATGAAGGAAAGCAAAGAACAGAAGTAATCCTCTGATCTGGGACTAACAACACAAAAGTTGTGATGAGGCAAGTAAACTATATAAATGAATAACATGTGCTAGGTGTAAAGAAAATTACTACAGGCCTGCACCGTGGTGTAGTGGGTTAAGTCACTGTCTACAGTGCCAGCATCCCATATGGGTGCCAGTTCAGGTCCCTGCTGCTCCACTTCCCATCCAGCTCCCTGCTAATGCACCTGTGAACGCAGCAGAAGACGGCCTGAGTCCTTGGACCCCTGCACCCATGTGAGAGATCTGGAAGAAGTTCCTGGCTCCTTGCTTCAGATCGGCTCAGCTCTGGCTATTGCAGCCATTTGGAGAATGAACCAATGGATGGAAGATCTGTCTCTCTCTTAAAAACAAAAGAAAATTACTAAAGAATACAAGTGCCTGTCCATCCAAAGTGGGCAGCTACTACACACTTCCAGAAGTGGCAATTGAGAATGCCAGCCCACTGCTGCCAGATCTTCAGAGAAAGTAAAACACGTCCATCAGTATATGAAATCACATTTTTAAGTAGCGGTGACTTTTTCATGGAAAAAAGAAGGAAGAGAGAATGCGAGAAATCACTGCATATGCCAAAAAAAACCTACAACCTTAACTCAAGTACCACCGAAGAGAACCACCAGTATGGAATCAGTGAGGGCCAAGCTTCACAATTTAAATTTCTACATTGAAAGCTCTAAGACATAGCAACTATACCTGTCTTACTCACTATTATATGTCCAGTTCCGAGGACAGGTAAGTGTTTCATGTTGTCCAAAAAAATCCCTTTTCGTATGTGCTCTCAGATGTTAGTTCATGTTAAACATCAAGACACATTTATCCACTGAGTAAAGTTCTAGCCAACCTTCAAAGTACAGCTTAATTTATCAGTTTTTCCCAAACACTGTCTCCTCTCCTCTTAATCCCAAAGAATTGCTTCACAAGTGTGTCTATTGTATGTTCCCTTGTGTGCTACTTAACTCCCTAAAATTTGAAACATATTCCTATAACAGCTGAAAACATTTTAATTATTTGATTATGTATTTGTCTCACATTGTTGACACAAATGTTTAAGTTGTAGAAAACAGCCACATTTTCACCTTAGAAGTTTCTAACACCATGCATAGTTCCTCACATATACCAGGCAAGTGTCTGTGCATTAACTACTATAGTTTTCTATTCTGTAGAATTTTCTTGCAATAAATTCCAAAGCATACAAATACTTTGGTTGAACTCATTTTCCACTATTATGTTCCAAAAAGATTTGTACCAATTTATAATTAAAGTATTTGAATGTGATTATTTTAACCACAATCTCACCATCATGTCATCATTTTAAAGTGTTTGAGTGGGGTCAGCATGGTGGTGCAGCATCCCATATGAACGCATGTTCAAGCCCTGACTACTCCACTTCCAATCCAGTTCCCTGCTAACATGCCTGGGAGCAGCAGAAGATGACCCAAGTGCACTCACTCAGGATACCAGGAGGAGGCTCCTGGCACTGGCCTGGCCCAGCCCTGGCCATTATGGCCATTTGGAGAGTGAACCAGGGGATGGAACACATCTCTTTCTCCACCTCTCCCTCCGACCACCACCACCAACTGTCTTTTTCAAAGAATTACAGTAAATCCTTAAAAAATAATAATAAAGTGTTTATGTAACCACAATCTCACTATCACATGTCACCATTTGTAAAGTTTATTCTTTTAGGGTACCTAATGGTATTTCACATGTTGTCTTAATTTCAAGTTTCTTTGAACACTAATAAAATGACCTTGCTTTCATTAATTTATGGATTTATTTATTTGAGAGGCAGAGACCTCCCATCTGCTGATCCTCTCCCTAAATGCCCACAACAGCAAGAACTGCACCATGCTGAAGCCTAGAGAGTGAGGAACTCAATAAAGGTCTCTCACATGGATAGCAGGGATCCACCTACTTGAGCCATTACCTGTGGCTCCTAGGATAAACTTTAGCAGGAAGCCAAATCAGGAGCAGAGCCAGGACTCCACTTAGAGGATCTAAGTACCCCAAGCAGCAGCTTAACCACTGGGCCAAATGCCTGCCCTATGACCTT